GCTATTCGTCTGATGGACTCGTTTACTATATTTCCTTAGCACACGCTCAGGAAATAATAACTAACTCATTGAGTTAATTATACAAACGACAGGAGCCAAAATAATTGGTCATAATAAAATTTCTTCATATTTTCAATGTGAAGCAAAATATTCAGGTTTCGAAAATTTGGTGCACAAACTTATCTGGTCTTGAAGGTGAAATTATATACTTTCAAAACTCAGATCGGCTTAACAACAGATAATTAATAATTAAGTGTTGCCACTTAAATTGAGACACACAGTAGATTTATAACTACATCCTAAAAATAATAAGTTGACCGAAATAGAGTGGGCATTAATTGTTAAATAAAAAAATAATTTTGGAGGCTCTTTAGTTGTAAGATGTGGTACCAAATTATCACAACAAATTTTGCTACACGAAATCTCTTCTTTCCCAAGTTTTAGTAGTTGTTCTAAAATCGTATCCAGTGAAGCTAAACAATCAAATAATAATATACTCGTACATTTCGAACGTAAGCCAGGAACATTTTAATAAATATGCAAATACATTCTACAAAGGAAAGACCACCGAGGGAGTCAGTCAGATTAAATCTCCTGTGTTTGAAGTCGAGCTTCACGTATTTGAAATATTGAGTTGATTGATAGTATTTAGTCCCAAGCAATTAAGCAAGTACTACCCTCTGAGAAAATAAAGTGGGCGGGGCTAGTACTTGCTAACACAAGTCTTATTTTGGAAAATGATATCGCCTGAGAAAATAGGGGGCGGGTGGGCGGGGATAGTACTTGGTAAGATAAGACTGAAAGTAAAGGGTGGGTGGGCAGGGCTAGTACTTGCTAAGGTAAGACTTAATTCGGCAAATGACGCCCCGCTCAAGGGAGTCGATTCCCCCTCACTTGTGTGAAAACGGGTTTTAACTGTAACATATACAAAGATATACAACTATCAATACTGAAAAAATCAAACTATGTGACAGACATGAATACCACATATATATTTTTCATCCCCTACAAAGACATTAAATTCTATCTATGAAAAGCATCTTTTAAACTGTTACTCCGTCCAACGAACCAGATTTACCTTGTTTCGTTCTGTTTACAAAGTTCACTCTCGAATCAAATCAAATTGTGCTTGCGTACAAAAAACCAATTTAATTTTTCTAATGCTTGGCGGTTTGGCGTTGAACTCGTTTGACGTCACTGTTTAAAGTATCAATAAAATTTGTTTTATTTTTGAACTGCAATAATCCACCACAGTACATTACTCACGGTAGCAATTATAGAAACGATACTCAGGAATGAAATGTGTTTTGAAACCGACGCGTTTGCATGGCATAATGACTTTGTTCTCTCGTGGTGCTGAACGTTGATGCGACGCGGTTTTATTTTACAATTTGATATGCGGTTTGGCAAAGTGATGTCATTATTGCGGTCATTGATGTCATGTGAAATTTCAAATTCTATCTTGAATGACTTGACAGCTGCATTACGAATTATGAATGTTATTGTTTTTGGATAAAGTGGATATATGTGTTGCAAATGCAATTTTCGCTAGCTCTCTGGAACATTGATTTTATGTTTTACGTTGTTGATTTTGATGTTTTTATTTAAATTTATTTTTGAATGCATTTGTGTTCGTGACAACTAGTGTGGCATTCCAGACTTTTTATTTTTAGATGTGCTGATATTTCATATATGGTGAGGTGAGACGAAACATTTCAATTTTTAATTTATGCTACCAATAAAATACAACGTTTAAGAAAAGAAACTTGTAGTGCAATTTTTAAAAGTGGGACCGTATTTTGAGCCAAAGTGCTTTTTATGTTATGTTGAAAGATCTTTAAATAATTTTCTAACAATTACTAGTTAAGAATAGTAAGTACATTAACACCGAATTGTGCATTATACGCTTGAATAATTGATTAAAACTATCAGTATTTAAATTGAATTCGCAAATTATTTACGACTCAAAACAGTTGTCAGAACCAGGTATTTCTACTCAGTTAACTAAAAGTGTTTCTCGAGCCTCTGAACATATTCGTCTTTGTGTACGTGCAATGTGGTTGAGAGTCGGACGTTTCATTCATTTTATTTTTGTCTATAATCTGAAACAAGTATCAGAATAAAGAAACATCATGGAATTTCAAAGTGGCTAAAATTTAAATGTTTACAAACCCACAAAGACGAAGCCGTTGTGGAACTGTAGTGGAATTTGTCAAAAATGTTCACGTATCCTAAAGACATAAAACTCGTGTCTATTGAGTACGTAAGTAGGAAACATCTAGGAACAAATCTCATAAAAAAAAATCGCCTACTGTGATGGTCTAAGCGTTTGACATCTATCCAACCGGGTCTATAACAGTGAAAACCTATTAAGAAGTAATTCTAAATTTCCGCTATCACGTGATTTGAAGTTATATTTCAGCAAGTGAAATCTGTCAGACTGCATGTGAAAGAAGAATAAATTATATACATTTTTAATTAGAATTTTCAGAGCTGTCAACTCCTGGATATTACACCGGTCTAAACAAAAATGTGGACGCGAACCTGCAAAAAAGATCGATCCAAAACAATAAGAATAAGTATGGTTTACATATGTTCTAGTCGAGTAGTTCGGATTTAAACACAAAATGAAAACTGAAACTATCCGATTTTGGTTTATACTGTTCGACAAGAATCAATAATTCAGGTTCCAGGCAACCATACAGGACGTCACATATGATAGAAATGATGGAATATAATTTCAATAATCCATATGAAATTTCTGGTCATCAGCCACAAATAACTTTAATTAACTTAGATTGTTATCTGGGGGCGCAAAAAAATATCAAAACTTGACTGTAAATGGACACGAAGAACTCTTCCTGCACACATCCTTTGTAATACGTCATATATAATAGTATAATATCTGGTTGACCGAGCTTCACTCGGCTCGTTTGGTAGTATTAGATCAGATTAGGACAGATAAATATGCGTATAGTATGCATTTTGAAGTAGACGCGCTAATTAAAAATACACATTAAAAAAGAAATTCCATAAGCAGTCTTTGTTTTAAACAGTGATAAGTGACATGTAGAGATTAAAGAACAGAAAACTGGAATTATTGTTTGACATTTATTACAATCTCATTTGTTACCCAAGTTTTCTATCTGTCGTTCTTTTTTTTTCCTAGTTCTCTCTCTCGACTCTAGGAAAAGGTCACAACTACATTCTTACTGCCAGAAGAGTTTCGCCTCTGGTGTGGTTATCATACTGAGTTACCGTGCTCTTTTGCGTTATTCCTAATTTCTCAATCTCAACCCTGCTCCCGAAGATGCCACTTACGAAAGTGTGCGAAACGTTGAGCCCAAAAACTCAAATAACACGGTCCCATCCCGGAAAACGATCACACATTGACTCCGACCGCGAAACCTCTGAAATGAATGCTTGACAAAATAATCTCAATTCAACGCACTTTCGTGTGCCTTTTATCCGCTCACTCTTTAGTTTTCGGTAAATTTTCTCACCTCAGAAGGTGAATTTTAACGTCTTCTATACAGTGGAGTATGTTTCGGTACGTACAATTGAAGATAAAAAGGTACGTCAAACGTACTGTCAGACTGTCACCCAAACTTCTCTTATAAAACGATCTCGTGTTCGTGTAGTGTCATCTGAAGTTGCCTAGCAACAAATATAATTCACTGCCTGAAAATTGCTGAAAATGCATGAAGCTGTAATTTTCAGAAGTTAAAACTATGATCAATCGATTTTTTGACCCAAAAAACCCCTAACCTGTAAATTTCATCGAAATCGTTAGAGCCGTTTTCGAGAAACCCATTATATATATATATATATATATATACAAACTTTGCTCGTTTAATAGTATTAGATAGATAATAAGCATTTCATCGTAACTCGGAACCGAAAATTTATTAACATTGTTGATGGATCGTACGAGTACACTTATCTCCAAATGGAGGTTAAACAGTGTTTTATTAAAACTTTATTCATTTTTCAGTGAAACATTTGTATACATTATAGTTCATTTCATTAGCTGTAATTACAAATTTATTTACATTTAATTGCACGCTGTTCCACACACGGTTAATACATTCTTGCTTATTTTGCTAATTCTCTGTTTTCAATATTATGTTTCAGCGCATTTTTTAATTTTGTTTTCGATGCAAAACAACTGAAAATGGTGGTCTACAGCACTAATTCTTTATATAACTTAAAATTTAAAAACAAGGGTATTAAAATTTCGCATTCCGACTTTTTAATACTTTTATGCCTCAGCAGCCCACAACAACGATATTGTTATGCTGCTCGTTTAATTTCTTAGTCACGGATGATTTCCCTTCGAAAGAAAACATTGGATATCGAGGTAAATTTTATTCATATACTTGAAATATTGACGTCAATCGAGCTTAACGAGACAACGCAGCCATTAGAAAAATTAAATTGATTTTTTTGTAGGTAAATACAACTTGATTTAATTCGGGAGTGAGTTTTGTAAACACAGTGAAACAAGATAAATCTGATTAATTGCGTGCGAACAAGACCTTAAAAAATGCTTTTTACGATTTATATGTCAGCAATAAAAAACGTAAGCAATATTTTATTGTGTTTGCTAATGACGCCTTTTCCCATATATTCTATTTTATTCCCACGGTATTTCTTCGCATGTCGTACGCGCATTATAACGACTTTTTCGTTTGAAATTTTCACAGCATTATATTACCACGGCACGTGTTATTAATTTCTTCTTTTCGTACTTGTAATGTAGATTTAATTCCGAAACTAGCGATTTTTGTAGCTGCTTTGCCCGACTCACAGAATCAGCTTTTGAATATATTAAAACTAATACGAAATTCTTACGAAATATCACTAATTTGTGCCATATATCACAATATTTATGTCAATTTTATGACTCGTGCGTGTTAAGCGTTTTAGGAAAATTACGTTATCGCCTCGCCGCGATTTTGGCTGTGATATTATAATGTTATTTTAGTTGAAAAATTTACCTGTAAATGGGGAAGCCGGAGCCTTGTTGGAACCAGAAAACCATGTACACTTTGTCATAGTTGTTGGGGGGTGTCACATCACACGGCAAACTAACACTTTTTCCCTCGACGGCTTCAATGTCTTGAGTCACAACCACTGAAACCAAAACGGAAAGTTACAAAACTTAATCAAAATTTTGTCGATTGAAGTTTTCTAATTGGTGCGAAACTTTAACTCGAAAACACCAACATATTCTATAAGGCGTCAAATGGTTTTGTGGTTTTGTTTAAAACAGATTTTTTCAGTACCTATTGTAACAATGTACAATACAGTATGTTTACTATTTTTTCGGTTTAATTAAAACTCAAACACAGCTGTTTGTTTAGTGGATAATTGGGAAAATATTTCAGATACGTTCAGCAGAATAATTTACGCCGCAAATGTACGCAGTTTATCAGTGCTTTAATTAAAAATATTTAAATCGATCGACAGGCATGAATAGTGTGGTTGCTAATTGATACTATTTTGCTAAAAAATACATTTTCAACACTGAAACAGGATTTTCGTACTAAACGACTGCAAATTTTGGGTAAGGTAATTCAGTAATTAAACTATAATATTGTCTCGTTGTGTTCTTACTGGTACAGAAAGAGCTATTTATGTTACAAGTGGGAAAAATTCATGGTTAAGCTCGGTTAAACTACATATTCATACAAATGCTGTAAATTACTGTAAAACAGGAAAACTGTAGATATAACAAAAATATGGATATTCAGTTGACTACACAATACAAAAAGGATTCAAATCCTCGAAGATAATTTAAAACTATTATTGAGAAATATCTAAAATATATTTATTTGCACAAAGACACGTTGAGGATATCGGTGCATACTCTAAGACAGCTTGGCCCATATGTCTTTAAAATCGATTCTACATGTAACAAGTTCGCACTTTGAATATTTCCTCGAAAGAACGAGATCTATATAATGTCGTTGAAGTAATATTCTAATATCAGAATTTCGCCCAGGAATCGGCCCCCTCAATACAATGGTCAATATGGTCTTAAAAATACCTTGATTGTGACAAAATTTTTACATTCGTTACAAATCCAATAATTTATAGTAAACTCAGTTGACTTGTACCTAGTAAAATTTTACAAACCCATTAACCGACAATAGCGAAAAATTATCTCCTAAATCAACTGAGTTTACTACACTAACAACATCGGTTATTTGATCAGTGTGGGTGTAACTTTAGCGAATGAACGAAATATACAAATATTTTCTTTTGTTTAATATGAATATATTATTACTAGCTGTTCGCCTGCGGCTTTGCTCACGTAGACGATTCGTTGTGTTGAAGACCATTATCATCAACATTCAAGTAAAAAATGCGTTGAAGGGTATTAATACAATTTCGAGTAAAAATCGACATAAATAATTTTTGCTCATAAAAACTTTGTCACCCCCTTTCATTTTCTTAGGAGTGGAATCTCGAAACAATCTGAAATACGTGTTTCATTATTTGTGTTGAAGAGTTTTAATACCTACCAAGTTCCCCGTAATACATGTTTCGTATTAATACCAAGTTCTCCATAAAAAATTAAATTTACAGTAGAAATATTTTTCCTATACAAACTTCGCCACCAATTTTCACTCCCTTTGGGATTGAATCTCGGAAAATGCTTAAATCCGTGTTCCATTATTTGTATTGAAGAGCATTAATACCAAGATTCACGTAAAAATTTAAATTTTCAATAGAAATATTTTTCCCATACAAACTTATTAGCCTCAACATTTCATTTCCTTAGGGGTTGAATTTTAGAAAATGCTTAAAGTCGAGTTTCATTATTTGTGTTGAAGAACATTAACACCAAGTTTCAAGTAAAAATTTCAATTTATAGTCGAAATATGGTTCATATACCAACTTAGCCGTCCAAACTTAGACACCACTTTTCACCCCTTTAGGGTCGAATCTCTGAAAATGCTTAAATACGTATTTTCTTATTTGTATTGAAGAGAATTAAAATGTACCAGGTTTCACGTAACAATGTAAATTTTACAGTAGACATATTGGACTTATACAAATTTTATCACCCCTTTTTAAACACCTTAAGGGATGAATTTCGAGAAATCCCTTCTTAAACGATGCCTCCAGTATAAAATGAACATTCTTTCCAAATTTTAACTTTCTAGCATTAGCGATTTGGGCGGGGCATTGATAGGTCAGTCGGGACATTGCCTTTTATTGTAACGAAGCGAAGGAAGTGCTGTGGCTGTTGAGTTTTTGAGTATTGAAGGGAAGTGAGCAGTTCGACCCTCCGACCACCGTAAGTATCCTTTGGTGTGGTCTGCCCATCTTAGTACCGGTTTTCGAATCGCCGCCCCCCCAGCGAGAAACCGTGTCAGGGTCACCGGGTTTTTTTTATTCCCGTCAGAAGTCGAAACCGTCGTGCACGCGTCGTTACCGTCATCGCGCTCCCCTCCCGGATCGCCGTGCCGTCTTCGCGCGATTTCCAGGTCTCAAGGTCGCCGCCCCCAGGGCCAGGAGGAGCCCGTCCTAAGGGAAGTCGCCGCCTAGGAGGAACGACCGTGCCGGACGTTTAATTCTTTTTTTGGAAAACCGTTTTGTAATTGTTTAGTTTAATATTAGCCGTAAGATTTATTATTTTAGACCGTGTAGCTGGTGGCAGGGAATAACCCCTATTTGTTATAAAATATCCTTGCCGTTTTATTTATTATTCTCGTGTTTTCGCGGGCGCTCACCACCTGAATTCCGTGTCTCCGGCTTTAGAGCACCCCGGCGCTCCCTCTTCGAGGGAGCTGGCGCCCGAGCAACCGCCGCTCCTGACCGAAGGCGCCACCCCCGGCGGCGTGAAGGTCGCCGCATAAGCTTGGTCGGCCAGACGTGTTTCTGACATCAGCGATACTAGTCGACCCAAAGCTTGGCACCCAAGTACGTCGCCACCACACGTTATCGGCCAGATCCCGGACCGTCACCGGAATTTCGTCGCAATATATATAGAGAAGATTATCACTATTGTGTAATTAAGCAGATCAAGATGAAATTGAAGTCGTTAAGCATAATTAATTTTTATACGTACCTATTATAATAATTTATACATTAATAAAATAGCAGCGATATACGGTTTAACCTACCGCGAAACTCCAAAGTTGGATAAAAAGGAGGAAAAATTTCAGTCCATTTTAAAATACGTAATTAATGCAATTGTTAATATAAGACTCTATTAACTGTAGGAGAGTTAATGAGAAAGCAAAATCATTTAGCTTAAGAAGTAAAATATCGTGTGGAATACAAAATCAAAAGCCTTTGAGAAAGTCTGTCTTTTGCGAATCCATGTTGATGTGATGATAAAATAAGAATAAAGTTTGTAAATATCTGGTGATTTTTTAAATTTCTTCTCTAGTTGGCCGTGATGCTTCGTTTGCACTGCTGACGTATGCGTGATGGTAGAAATGTAAAAAGTCACACAGTTTTAACGTATTTGTTGATACAAGTATAATTGGTAGAGAGTTGATGGTTGCCCGTTTTGAATATAAATATAAACATTTTCTGCAGTCTCGAATCAACAAAGTAGGTATCACACATTTTTAAAATTAAATCTTCCTGATTAATTGGTAATAAGGACTATAAAAAGAATGTGTAATTAACACTATCAGGTGCAAATGATACCGCTGTCTTCTTTGTAAGAATGTTTGAAAAAGTGTTTGCAAATGCATTTTAACGATTTCCTGTGGATGCGTTAATTCTGTGTTCTCTTTGTTTGCGTTGTACTAGGAATTATACATGTTCCTTTTTTCGGTTCATAAAATTTCATACTCTAATTAATTTCGTTAACTTGCTCTATGAGCTGATTACAGCAGAATGTGGTGCACTTTTTCCAAGAGAAAATTATTCGTTTGCATTTTTCAGAGTTTAACATCATGCTGATATTAGCACACCAGCCCTAGGCTACATTAAATGTAATTTGTAAACCAAGAAGGTTTACTTAGCTGCTAACATTAGAGAAAATTATTAGATCATCACAGTTAGCAATAGGTGAAGAAGTTAGCTGATCAAACCAAATCATTTATGAATACGAATACATATTTTAAAGTGGGACCAAAATAGTAACCGCGAGTCTTTATTCAAACTATTTGGAGACGCTTGGTGTCATAAAAGGAAGCCCAAGCCTGTATTTGACCATTGACGCCGAAATACTTAATAAAAGGGTATAATTTACTCGAATCAATCTGGAAGTCGTTCACGAAAGCAACTATCATATATTCGATACAGCCAGCAAAGATAATTGCTGTACTTCTACCAAGGAGGAACTCGTGCTGACCGAGTGATACAATTCTGACAAGTGGCTCATTAATAATTTACTTCAATCCTCTGGATAAAGTTGGAATAATGGCAATAATGCCATAGTTTTATGTAAAGGAATAATATAAAACTGCTTCCAATTACTCGGGCTAGGATACAGAGCTAGGTATATGAATAGATTTTTATCAATAGGTGAAGAGGGTAATCATTTTTTTAAGCTATGAATGGCACAATTTTGTGAAACCATTGCGATAACTCGAACATATTGAAATATCAAACCAAAAAAAAATCTCTCTGTCAGTTTTTACCACAGAGCTAATACGACTAGCTGATAAAAAAATGTACCTAACTATAAGGAACTTCAAATAAAACAACAATTTTTGGTCATTTTTCAATATACATTTTTTTGTTCCCGACTGTAAGCTAAAGAAAGTAACAGGATCCCACTAGAAGAATGGCTAATTTTAGGTTTTCTCGACGTTTTATGACCCCTATAATACGAAAATGTAGGTTTCGCGTTTTAGTTCGTCTGTCGTCCCTCTGTCCTCTGTCGTGTGTGTCGATGTTTATTAGACAGACAATCTTCGAAACTACTAGATCGATTGTTGTCAAATTTTTATGTGTTAGAAACATCGAGTAGATGGTAAAAGAAAATTTGTCTAATCATCCCCGCCAAAAATTTGATGACGTCGCTTAGAATTTTTATTTTTAGCAAACGCGATCCAAATTTTATAAAATGATATACTTTTGTACTTGTAGTTTGTGTATACATACAGTAATATAACAACCTTTCAGAAACGATGGCGAATGAGCCTTTCTTTTTTTCTTACACTGTT